ATCTGCTGATCAGGACAACTTTGATCTGGCTTGGAGCCTAGTGTCATCTCCTGTTTTTCTCACTCTGATGGACAGAAATGATATTTTCTTGAGCAATCTGAAAAAGTTCCGTGGAGAAAAATAATTCTGTTTCTGATTTGGATAGGGGAGTGAGGAATTTGGAGAGGCTCAAGATCCACCACCAGGATTGAAACCAAATTCGAGACATTCACTCTCGCCACGGGAACCTGACATATTAAAGTACTTCAGTGTTTTCATTTTTCACATCGAGTTGCTGGCCTTCCTGGCCCGTGATGTGGGTGGACTGTTGACTGCCACTTTTCCTTGAAATTACACTGTCAGATCTTGTTTGCATGCATTGTGATTAATGGGGTTACCCCATGTGGCTTCAGTTTGGGAAACATCATTTTTCATCAAGATTGCAGGCTCTTTGGTGGTCTTGTCCTTTTTTTTTTTTTATTTTTTCCTTTCTAAAGGCAGCCATAAAAATTCTGATTCCCTGGCTTCTCTTAATGATGAAAACTCTGCTTTAGATCTCTTGGGTAATTTACACCTAAATATCTCTACCACTGACAGTAACTTTTTGAAGTAACCCAGCTGGAATTTCCACTTAAGGCAGGAGGAGAAGGGAGTGAGGATGTTTTTGTTACTTTTCTCTCCGTTCCTTTCAACCTCCCCCCCTCCATCACCTTCCAGCTGTACTCCCTCTCTAGCCCTACTCACTGCTCAAGTTTCATTTCATGAAAGTGGTTGAAATAATAATAAAAGCACCACCATGCTGATTTGGAATTCCACAGACTTGCCTGCATTAATGGTATTTAACACTTTACTGATGTTTATATGGAAAACCACTGAGTAACTTTTTATTGAAGCATCTATTATATGCGTCTATACCTGGTAACTACATATGGATGGGGCGTATTCCTAGTATTCCTGTTGCAAATGCGACATCATAAATTTTTTTATTGTTCGCATTTGAGGTTGGCTGGAGGTGGTTATTTATTAGGCTCAGAAATTCTGTCGACACTTGGAGTGTTTATCCTGGATTTGTTTCTGTGCATTGAAAGTGTCTGGTGCAGCTGAAGAATCGGCAAAATGAGCCAAGTGGGAAAACATGATGAAACATCATGAAGCCAGCACAAGTCATTGAAAAAATAAAAGCTGGCAAAGGGAAGTTACCAGGAGGGTGAGGTAAAACAGGAAGAATGTAGGCAAGGCCATCTCTCAACAACAGCCTGTCTGGAGTGCTGGACCCATGCTGCTCCCCAGCGCTGGTGCATTTGACTCAGGGTCTGGAGCTTTGGCGGATGAGGCTACACATTCACCTCTAGTTTGAAAAGAAACAGAGATGTCTTCTCAGTGTTTCAGCTTTCTCATTTTGGGGTATGTACCAAAAAGAATTCCAGATAGCATTTCAGAAAGTTATTCGTATCAGTTCTATTTCAGCATTATTCACAGGAGCAAAGAGGTGAAAACAACCACAGTATCTATTGGTGTGGCTGAACAATCAAGAACCTGTGATAGGTACATACAGTGGAATACTATGCAACCTTAAAAGAAAGGAGATCTGGCCAGATGCTGTAACATGGATGAGCTGGACACATCATTCTAAGTAAAATCAGCTAGTCAGATAAACCCTACCTGATGTATCTCTTGTGGTCAAACCAGTAGATGCTGAAAATAGAATGGAGGTTCCCAGGACCCTGGGAATTTTTTAATGGATAGATTTTTCAGTCACAAAGTTCTAGACACAATTTGATCAGAAGTGGCTATATGGTTGCAATACCATGCAGTTAAAGGTTGTTCTGGGAGCGAATTAGCATTGCATGTTTTGATCCTCATTTAAAAAGAAATACTCTTTTTGAGTTAACAATTGAAAACTGCAGAAAGTTTCTTTCTTGTTGATTTTATTTTATTTTGCTTCGGGGCCATACTTGGGATACTGGGAACCGTGGTGGTGGGAAATGGGCACTGGTGGAGGGATGGGTATTTGATCATTGTATAATTGAAACCCAAGCACAAAAATGTGTAAGTCTGCAACTATACCTCATGATGTCTCACTATTAAAAATTTTTAAAAAAGAAATACTGTTTTTGAGTTAACAATTGAAAACTCCAGAAAGTTTCTTTCTTGTTGATTTTATTTTATTTTGCTTGGGGGCCATACTTGGTGGTACCCAGGTGCTATTCCTCATTCTGTGCTTGTGGGTTGCTCTTAGCAGTGCTTTGGGAAGCATGAGGAGCTGAGGATTGAACCCAGGTCTCCAGCTTGTGTTTAGCTTACTGAGAACTTTCTCCATTCCCCAGAAAGTTTCTCAGTGTAGAAGCACATTGCCTGTTTGCCAAACACACAATCAGAACTTCTGCACCATATTCAGGAAAACAGCCCATTGCTTGTCATCTCCTACAACCAGATCTTAGTAGTTCTGTGCATTTGGATTCATTCTCAGTACCTGTCTATTGTGGATAATCAGGTAACACTAACATTAGAGTTGCCAAAAGGAGGAAAGACCATGAAAATAGATAACCTAGTGTGAAACAAGTCAACAAGAATGATAGTCCAGAGCCATACACAATAGTCCAAGAGTCCTCTCAGACATCCTCCTGTGATTCTGCAGTGGAGAGCCCTCTCAGACATCCTCCAGTGATTCTGCAGAGAAGAGCCCTCTCAGACATCCTCCTGTGCTCTGTAGGGGAGAGCCCTCTCAGACATCCTCCTGTGATTTTTGCAGTGGAGGGGATACTCAACCTTGCTGTAGAGACACTTGGCCAGGCTTGAGGAATTGGCATGATCCTGAGAATTCATCCTGGGGCTCCTGCATGCAAAGCCTGTGCCCCAGCCCATTGAACTTGCACCTTGGATCCATAAAATTTTCTCTCTTTTATTTTTCCTTGCTAAGGAGTTCAACCAAGGGAATAGGACTCATTTCTAAAGAGTTGTGTTCCAAGTTCTTCCCAAATCAACTCCTCTTCACACTCCCTCAGAGATGTACTTCAAAGCTTAGTTTCTAGCTTTCTGCACCTCTTCATTCTTTTCTGCTGACCTTCGTTGTCTTCTCTATAAAATGTAGGCGATATTCTTTTTTTTTGCTTTTGCTTTTTGGGTCACACCCAGCGATGCACGGGTGTTACTTTTGGCTCTTGCACTCAAAAGCACTCCTGGCGGTGCTTGGGGGACCACATGGGATGCTGGGAATCAAATCCGGGTCAGCTGCGTGCAAGACAAACACCCTACCTGCTGTGCTATCGCTTCAGCCCATAAAATGTGGGTGATATTCTTACGATCGAAGAAAGCTTGACCAGTCTTGCAGAAACTGCAGTGAGAACCTATGAGCAGGCAGCAGCAGTGATTTTGCTGCTGGAGACAACGTTGATGCTTGTACAGAAGAGTTGAGATATTTCAGTGGTTTGGGAACCGGGGATGTAGTTCAGTGGTAAAGCACATGCCTTGCATTTGTGAGGTCTTGGTTTGATCCCCAGCTCCATAGAAAGAAAATGTATTTTTACATGTGTAAATATGAATGCAATTGCTTGCAAAACCTTTGCTCAGAATGTTTAATTTCTCCTCATAAAGAGAATCAGGATCTAATTTCAACCCCCCACCCACCCCCGCTTGGTGACATGCCCATGGAACAAAGGTTGAGAAATTCTGCCCTTGCTGAAGGAAACGCTATTCAGCTACAGATGATGCAAACTGAATTTAAGCCAAAAGGGGGAGGGAAAAAAAAAGATTAATTCTCACGTTTGGCTTTGTAGGAAATGGAGAAAGGCTAATCTCCTAGAATAGACATTCGTGCTCTTGGCGCAATATTTTCTTATCCAACCCTCTGGGTTGAGCCTGGTTGTCAGTGTTTGCCTTCTGTCTCTGAGGAAGTCTGGTCTCTGCTTGCAGCATGTCTGTGAGTTCTGCAGGCGAGTGGAGGGGCCTGTCTTCTTCCTGCGGCCAAGCCCAGTTTTTGCTGAAGCCTGGCAGCTCGCCTGAGATAGCAGGTCAGGGACTGACCAAGCTTCAGCCTCTCATCATCGGGCTCTGTGTTTTTGGCTATAGATTCCACACACTTGATTCTTGAAAAATATTGGGATGGAAAAAGAACTTCCCTTTGAACTTGAGCTTGGACTTATGGGAGGTAGCAAGGCAGTAGGTGGAACAGTGACACACCCTCATGGTGTTTTTTGGGGGAAGGAGGGTTGTTTGGCTTTTTCTTCGCTTTTTTTTTAAATTTTATTTATTTATTGAATCACCATGAAATACACAGTTACAAAAGTTGTTCATGATTGGGTTTCAGTCATACAATGTTCCAGCACCCATCCCTTCACCAGTGGCACATTTCCGGCCGCCAATGTCCCCAGTTTCCCTCCCACCATACCCCATCACACCAGCCCTTGTCTATGGCAGGCACTTCTCTCTCTCTCTGTCTCTCTCTCTCTCTCCCACCTCTCTCTCTCTATCTCTCCCACCTCTCTCTCCCCCCACTTCTCTCTCTCCTCTCTCTTTTTCCCCTTCTCCCACCTCTCTCCCACCTCTCTCTCCCCTCCCTCCCTCCCTCTCTCCCTCCCTTCCTCCCTCCTCCCCCCTCACTTTTTTTCCCTCACTTTCCTTTTGGCATTACAGCTTGCAATACAAGGGCAATAGAAACAAGAGCAAAGGGAGTTGCCCACGGTTGGAAACTTGCCTCGAGTGGTGGAGGGAGAGAGCAGTTACAGTAGAGAAGGAACCACTGTGACAATGACAATTGGAAATGAACAGCCCCATGTTTCAGGCCAGAGTGTCCCGCCCACCCTGTTTGAGCAGAGGTGGCATCCGGTCTCCAGGCTCTTCCCTTCCCACTGTTGGTGGATGCAGGTCACCCTCCGCATGGGACGGTGTCACTGGCACGAAGGGTGGTAGAATTTTCAGTGGTTTCATACTACACCATTCCCCTTCGAGGAGTATTTTCCTTTCTACTTGCCTGTGATGCCAATCGACCTCAAAGACCTCCTTTCTCTACTTCTGTCTTCTAGATCACCACAGACCTGCGGCAGCGATGCACGGACAATCACACAGGCACGTCCGCCTCCGCACCCATGGCTGCGGGCATCATCGCACTGGCCCTGGAAGCCAAGTAAGCCTTTCTCTCTCTCTCTCCTTCACTGGGGACAGTCCCTCATCTCAGGGTCTCTGTCCCACCCCGGCCATCTCATTGGTTCCCCAGCACCAAAGCCTAGAATGTGAGCTGCCCACCTTGAGCATGCCAACAGCATAGTTAGGGCTTAGCATTCTCCCACTGTGTTCAGGAAAGAGGCAACATTTTAAAAAAAAAAATGGGGAGGTTTCCATATTTTTTTTTATAAAAAAGATCGAAGTGTATAATTACTTTATTATGGAGTCACAGAGTTAAGTCTGCCAGTTGGCTCTGCCGCACTTGCCTTGCTGAGGTTTTTATTCTAGTCTGGGAATGTTTCCGGGAGTCTCAGAGCAGTGAGGTCTGCCCGCTTCTGGGCGCTTTCCCTGCAGAATGCAGCTCCTTGGCAACGGCACCGGTTCAGACTCACTCAGGGGCCCAGACGGTGTCAAGCACTCAAGATAGAAGTCCAGAAACAAGAACAGTCCATTCGTCGTCTCTCTGTTCGGTGGAGTCCAATTCCATGTCTGAAGGATCCCTGGGAGAGCCAGGCCCCCTTAGCTTATTCACCATCTGGAGGGTCCCCCCCCCCTACTTCTAAAGAGCAGTAGGAAAGCCCAAGAGAAGCTAATAGGAAACCTTCCTTATTCTCAATTTTATCATCTAAAATGCCCGACACTCTGAAGTGTCTTTTTTACTAAATCAGCACCCTAACTTAGTTGCTAACAAGCCTTATCCTGACATGAGGCCCTTTATTGTGGAAATCCATCCATCTCAGGGCAGGAATATTATATTTAACCGAGTATACTTGGTTGTAAGATGCTGGACGTTTTGGGTCATGTGTGTTGTGGATATCATAGCTGAAAAAAAGTTTTTGATTTTCAAGCACATCTGGTCCAAGGACTTCAGGAGAGGGTTTACAGGTACCTGTCCTGAGGCCCTACCTACAGGGAAGCTGAAGTGATGATGTGTTTGACCAGAAATTGCCTTGTGCCTCTGTCCCAGGAGTGATGGAAAGAGCCTGGCCCCTCATTGTGGCTGATGCCGAATGGTAGTAGGTGGTAGGAAAGGAATTTGTGAATTGAAAGCCTGAAATATTTCAATAGGATAAGAGTTTCATCACCGTCACCTAGCTGGTCTCCTCTCCTATAGAGCCTGTTTAAGGCAGAAGGGTCTTAAGTGTACGATGGGCGCCTTAAATTTCCAAGAGTTTTACTCAGACTGAGACAAGAAGCAGAGCACATGCTTTGAATATGGTGCTGTCTTTGGGCTGCCGATAAAAGAAAACTAATCCAGTAAATGGAGTCACTTATGAGCCACAGATTTTTCTCCCCTGGAAGGGGAAGCTGTGAATAAAATACAAGATGAAGGCATGGAAAGATTTGGGGTATGGGGGCTGGAGCAATAGTACAGCCGGAAGGGTGTTTGCCTTGCACACGGCCGACCCGGGTTCAATCCCCAGCATCCTATATGGTCCCCTAAGTACCGCCAGGAGAAATTCCTGAATATAGAGCCAGGAGTAACCCCAGTGCATCACCCAAAAAGCAAAAAAATAAAATAGAAAAAGGATTTGGGGTCTGGTGATGACTCACATCATAAACAGCTTCAAGCAGTAACAAGAGCAGTCAAGCCGACTGAAGGAACTTCCTTCAGTCTCTTAGAAGCCATAAACCCATTTCAGAATCCTCAACCTTCAGAACCTCACCACCACCCAGAGGCCTCATCTGCTGATGTCTAAACACTGAATGTCCGTTTTCAAGCTATGGGTTTGAGGGTCTCAAACATTCAGAACATAGCAGTGACTCTCACCTAAGCGTTAACATTAGCTGATAATTAAGCTCCCATGAATGTTTGAATATCTTTTTGTTAAAGGTTAAATATGAGAGCATTTCAATCACATTTCCTCTTGAAGTATTAAGAGGTTGAATTTTAGCAAGGAACTGGCACATATCCTGTGAAATTCTCACTCATTTTTTTCAGTAGATGGTTCTGATTGTTCTAACAGAAGAAGTCTCAATTAAGTGTGTTTCTAATTTGGTGGCAATAAATTGGACTTCTGAAAACATATTGTCTTCATTCTGCATTCTGGGTACTTTGAAATATTTTCCTATCCACAAAATAGTGAAGGAAGAAAATCAGGAATTCTCTCTCCAACTCCACATTTCTCCCCAGAAGGATATAATCTCAGACTTGGCAACCAAATCCTGTTACTGGCAGCAAAGAATCATGATATTTATATTGAGTTACTACTAGAGATATTACTATAATGCTAATAGTTTCAACCATAATTCCTTTGATTTCTGTAGCACGGTCCTCCCGTTGTTCATCGAGTTGCTTGAGTGGGCCCAGTAACGTCTCTTTTGTGAGACTTGTTACTGTGTTTGGCATATCGAATATGTCACAGGTAGCTTGCCAGGCTTTGCCGTGTGGGTGAGACTCGGTAATTGCCAGGATCTCCAAGAGGGGCGGAGGAATCAAACCTGGCTAGGCCGGCCGGCTGCACACAAGGCAAATGCCCTACCGCTGTGCTATTGCTTTGATTTCTGTTTACGCTTAAGTGAATCTTTTTCCCCCCTCCAACAAACCACTCAGTTACATAAGGTCATTTTGGGAATGGACAATATACCAATCAGAGCTTTTCATTTTTTTTCTTTTAAGCTTATTATTATTATTATTATTATTTTTTGCTTTGCTTGTTTGGGTCACGTCTGTCAGTGCACAGGGGTTATTCCTGGCTCTGCACTCAGGAAATACTCCTGGTGGTACTTGGGGGACCATATGGGATGCTGGGAATCAAACCCGGGTTGGCCGCATGCAAGAAAACCCATGCGTCCTGTTTTAAGATTTTTCAAGTAATCTATTTTGGCCATGAGGCCAGAGTAGCTGATAAGTAATCTGGCAAACCAAGAAAGACTAAACTGCTTCATTGGTGTGTCCAACTGGCCTGTCTCAGTCTGTACGGGAAGCGGAAGGTTAAGAGAAAGGGGTCTGAGGACTAAATAAGTCAGTTTTACACTGATTCTAGGATCCATAAGCTGCGTGAGTAAAAAGTATCTGTAGTCAAGAAAAGTGTAGGAGGTTTTCCAGTAACAGTGTTGATGCTGATCGACTCAAACCTGGCTGACAGTAACTCACCCATCAAATTGAGCTCCCACCCCTGCAAACGTCTCTTAGACTAGTGCTTCTCGGCAACGTTCAGACCTTGCTGTTTGGGGACTCCACCTTTACTGGCAAGTTGAGGAACCTGATCTAAGAGTTCACCTCCTGGGAGAAGAAAGGAAGCCAGAGCTCGCTGCATTGTGCTTTAAATGTAACCCAGCATTACAGAAATTCACCACTTTGATCATGTTTGGAGAGTAATGGGAGGAAGGTCAGGAAGTAGAGTTAGCCAGACCCTCTGAATTGCAGGGCTCCATCCTTTCGGTACTATAAAGAAAGGCATGTTTTTTCCCCCTAATGTCACCAGATTGCAGCATTTGCCCAGGAGCACACTCTTCTGCCCTAAGCAGGAATCCTGCACTCTGCTCTCTTTTCTTTCTCGAGCTCTTTCCTGCCACAGTAGGATTTGGGGAGATCAATAGTAGCTCTTTCAAACAGTGGCCTCTAGACCGGTCTGAGTATTTCTCACCCCCTAAAGATAGAACTTTTTCATTTAAAAAAAAAAAGAAAAGAAAAGATTTGAGGAAAACTAGGAATAGAAATTAAATACAGAACATAGAAACAACTGAGCTTCCAGTGTCCGGATTTCTTGTCTGAATGTGACGGTTGCTGGGTCATGGATTAACTTTGCCATGACAACTGTCAAACTCCTGGGCTCTAACCCCTTCTCCCCGCCACAACAGGCACACACACACACACACACACACACACACACACACACACACACACTCATTCCCCGGACATGTAAGAACACATGTGGCTACAGACTCTGCTGTAACACCACCAGACACCACGGAAAAATTGTGCTACTCCCAAGATCATAAGGATTCACTCTTAAGCTCCTGCCTCCTCCCCATTCTTTTCTGGGTTTGAACCTCTTTAATTAGGGCTGCCATGTGCGACAAAGCTGCCTCTGACAATCTAGTCATAAAATTTGCTTCTCTAGTAGATCGGATGATTTTTCTGTTCTCAGAGATGCTTCCTGGGTACAGAAAACTCTTAGCTCTAGATTCTCCTAAAAAATCACAAGGGCAGGAGAGATACTACAGGAGTTAAGTCACTTGCCTTGTATTCAGCTGATTCTGGTTCTCTCTCTAGCACTTCATGGTCCCCTGAGCATAACCTCCTAGTACTACTGAGTGTGGCTCAAAAAAAAAAAAAGAGTGAAATAAAATAAAAATCTTAAACAGCTGCCAAGGTAGAGAAAATATTGTCATCTTGAAAAAAAGGGGAGAAAGTGGATTTTTGTATTCTCATTATTTATTTGTTCTTCATGTCCAATATATTATAATATTTTGAAGTTTATACTATTTTACTAACATGAATTTCATGGACATGGGAGTAATTCTCTGGCTTTCAGTTTTCTTCGATAGGAAATATGTAGCCCGTACTTACAAGTAAGCTACCATTTGGGTCATTGCTCCTTGAAATGATGCCTTTATATAGCATAACTCAGAATGTCCAAATGACATTTCTAGCTTGGGAGTCATTTTTACTAAGTAAAGTAGTAAAACATGACTGGTAGTGTTAAGTCAGCAATTTTAATAGTTTTACTTGTGCCAAGTCACATTTATAAGGTACTTGTTCTTAGATGCTGGTGAAAATTATCAATATTCTGAACCTATAGTCATCCAGCTTTCTGACCCCTGTAAACCAGCAGTTAAAAATACTGCTTTCAGCCTAGGAGAGAGAAAATGTTGCAAACACATGATGCTGTATATAAAAGAGTAAACAAATCTTTATAAGAATAGGAAATTTAGTACTAAAAGTTTTCCTTTCCTGAATCTGCAATTAGCAATTAACTTTGCTATTATCAATAATTAATAATTATTAATAAATTA